TGGTACCTCTACCAAAAAGAAGAAGAATGGGAACCTCCTGGGAAGTTTTTGACTTCTGCAACGTCTCTCAAATGCAGCACACAGTTATGTACAGGAAGGGGTTGCTGGTTGGCACTGCAGAGAAAGACATCAGTTTCATGATGTCCCCAAGCTCCAGCCCAAATATCCAAGAAAACCAACTAGGTGAGCTCAGACTGCAATCAAGTGCACATCTGTGCTTGAGAGGACTCCACGTGGTTGGTCTCTGTGGTATGAGCCTTTATTAAGCTCTTGTTTCCACCTACTAAATCTTACAGCAAACTTCTATTTTTTTTCCCACGTTAATAGGGCCTCATTTACTGTACTAAGTGTTCATATTTTTTTTTTCTTTACTATCCTTCCTGTGTATCCAGAAGCCAGGGGAATTCATTTGATCTGGGAAACTACAGGCCAGGCAGCCTCACATCTGTCCCTGGAAAGGTGATGGAACAGCTTGTTCTAGATGCCTTCTCTGAGCAAATGGAAGAGAAGAAGTTCATCAGGAATAGTCAGCATGGATTCACCAAGGGAAAATTCCGCTTGACCAACCTCACAGCCTTCTATGATGGCATCACCAGATGTGTAGTTGGGGGGAGAGCAGTGGATGTCATCTACCTTGACCTCAGCAAGGCTTTTGATACTGTCTCCCATGACATCCTGATAATGAAGCTGAGAAAGCGTGAGACAGATGACTGGACAGTGAGGTCTGTTGAGAACTGGCTGACTGGCTGAGTTCAGAGGGTTGTGATCAGTGGGGCAGAGTCTGGTTGGAGACCTGTAACTAGTGGTGCTCCCCAGGGGTTGCTGCTGGGTCCAGTCTTGTTCAATATCTTCATCAATGACCTTGATGAGGAGATAGTGTCTACCCTCAGTAAGAATGCTGATGATACAAAGCTGGGAGGATTGGCTGACTCACCTGAAGGCTGTGCTCCCATTCATCAAGACCTGGACAGACTGGAGAGATGAGCAGCAATAAATCAGATGAAGTTTAACAAGAGCAAGTGTAGAGTCTTGCACTTGGGAAGGAATAACCATGAGTATAGGTTGGGGTATGACCTGCTGGAGAGGAGCTCTGTGGAGAAGGACCCAGGAGATCTTGGTGGATGACAGGTTGGCCATGAGCCATAAGTGTTTCCTGGTAGCCAAGAAAGCCAATGGGATCCTGGGGTACATTAAAAGGAGCATGGCCAGCAGGCCAAGGGAGGTGATCCTCCTCCTTTACTCTGCCCTGGTCAGGCCCGGAGTACTGTATCCAGTTCTGGGCTCGTCAGTACAAAAAAGATAGGGAGAATGTCCAGCAGAGGGCCACAAAGATGATAAAGGGCCTGGAACATCTCCCCTGTGAGGAAAGGCTGAGTGAACTGTTCAGCCCTGAGAAAAGAAGACTGAGAGGGGATCTTATTAATGTTTATAAATATCTTAAGTGTGGGAGTCAATAGGACATGGCCAACCTCTTTTCAGCTGTCTGTAGGGACGGGACAAAGAGAAACAGCTATTAACTTGAGCACAGGAAGTTCTGCACCAATATGTGAAGGAACTTTTTCATGGTAAGGGTAACAGAGCATTAGAACAGACTGCCCAGGGAGGTTGATTCACCCCATAGAGTGTGGATTCTCCTTCTCTGGAGATATTCAAGACCCACCTGGATGCCAACCTATGCAACCTGCTGTAGGGAGCCTGCTTTGCAGGGAGACTGGACTTGATGACCTTTGGAGGTCCCTTCCAGCCCTTACAATTCTGCAATTCTGCGAATGTGCCCACAGCTTTGTAGGATGAGAAACTGAGAAACAGCACATTTGTGTCACTTGCTGATGAGCGTGGAAGAAATCTCTGACACCAATTCCAATTTCACAGTCCTCAAAAGACAAACGCTGAGTGTTTTCTACTACTCCAAAGCCTCAATGTAAGGAGAAAGATGTTTGTAAAAATGAACAAACACCAACTCTGAAAGAAATTCAGAGTTTATGTCACACACCAGTCATCAAATGAGGATACAGCCATCAAATGTGTCATCTGTTGTGACTCACTCTCTTGCACAATGATTTTGTCATTCCTTTCCCAAAATAGAGTGCCAAGAACAGTGTGTTGCATAAAGGTGGGCTTGATCACGCAGGGAGACACAGTTTCAAGAGGAATCTGTGCACAGATCATTCTCAGCCACCGAAAAGTCAGACACCTGGCCTAACGCTCCTTAGCCAACAGAACACCTTTCCAAGCTCGCTCCATGCATACTGGACATCCACCTCAGCAATATCACCTTCTCTAGGAGTCTCTTACTATTGCAAGTTAAAGCTCCTCTGGAAGTGTTTTAAATGTCACTGAGATGGGCAAATCCCCAAGCGGCTGTCCTGTCATTCTATTAACATGCATTATTACATCACCCATTAGATTGGGTATTATTTTTTTGAGAGAAAAAACAGCATTTACCACATTTTCCACTAACGGAGAGGCTTCTGTAAGCTCTGTCTTCAGTAAAAAAAAATTCCTGAGCTTACAACTCAAGAAATATTGAAGCACTGTACAGACAAATCTAATTGATTATTAGTTTAAAATATGGTATTACCAAGAAAGATAAGGTGACAATCTGATACTGCATTCTCACAGTCTAATCTTTGACTAACTCACAAGATTACCAATTTATTTAAATTATTAATTTACTATGGGCTCAAGAGGGCTTTACAACTCAACTGGCACAAGTTTGTCAGCCCCAATAAACCATTAAGACAGATACTAGTAATTATTATCTTCTCAAGTTCCCCTCTCTTTTCTCAAATCCACCTTCTTTCAGTTGTACTTCTGATTTTTACAGTTAGTGGGCATCTCTCATATAAACTTTGCACTGTGTTTTCCTTTGTCTAATGAGGACTGAAGCTACACTTCAACACATACAACAGCCCCGTGTGTTGGTTTCAGTCACTGACACTCTTCATGACAAAGGGATTAGCACAAGGAGATCACGGCAAAAAGGCTGAAAACTCAATCTCTATGTCACTGGTGACATATTTCTAGGGACTTCCCACCTCCCATTAACTTCAAAAAGTCCAGTACTTCTCCATTTAAATTATTTTGACAGTTCAGACATTTCACTGCCTGGGAAGCATAAGTGGCATATAACAGGAATATGTGCAGTCACATTCAGTTGTTATTACAGACGAACTCTCTCCCACAAGATTTTTTTGTGACTTTAGCTACATGGTTTGCAAATGGAAACATACTGTATGAAAATATGTCTAGATACATTATTTTACCCCCATATAATACAAAGTAGAGTCGAAAGGTTCAATTAGGTCATCCAATTCATTCTTCAAGTCCTCCATTACCAGACTGTCCTTTTCAATACATTTACCAGCTTTGTCCATATTTATACTAAACAGCTCAGGCAATGAGCTTTCATCAGCTTTTGTCTACTAAAGTGGTAGGCAAATGATTAATGTTTAAACACACCAGTAGCCTTTCCAAGTGAAAGGCAAGGAGTCCTTGAAATTAAGGGTAAGTTTAAGTTTGTGCACATATCAATGCCAAACTTTTGTGGAGTATATTATGTCCATTATACACTACTGTTTGAAAGAAGACAAAAAGACCAGAAGCATGCATTAAGTCTGTAGAATGTTCCCGTGCAGCCAGGGAAAGGACAACTACAGATTGAGCAGTACCCAAGATCCCCGACAGGGTTGTATGAACCATGGTCAAGCCAGCCTAATCACATTTACACTCTCACCAGTGGACAAGACAGCTAGCTGGAGAGTAAGTACTGCATTGCAAACATTCCTTAAAATTCTAGTTGCCTTCTCTGGGATCTTAAGAAAGGCCAGACCAGCCACAAATGTATAATTCCACAACTCGTCTTTATCCATTAATGTATAAGGAAGGAAATAGATGAGAGATGGCTTTCTGGCACAACCATATCCAAAGGAAATACAGACAGGCTAACAGCACAGAGGTGCACTGTTATATTTAACGCCCTAGAAATCTAAACCACCTAATCCCACACGCCAAATGAAGCATGTACTCACAAAATAAAGTCAATATGGCTAGGAAGCTTGACTTTGCAGAAATAGAGCAGGCATAGGCAGTCCCTTCCAGAAATGTGGGTTTCACTTTCACACTTGTTTTGCACACACATAATGAATAATGACCAACCATCCATAAGTACAACACTGAAGTCCATAAGCACAAGACAGAAATTAGGGGGTAAAACATTCACATTTCTTAAAGCAGTATTAACTCACCCGTAGTATACAAACAGCTTTATATAAAAGTCACTGGAGCAAATGCTATAAAAGCCTAGGTGACAGGATAAATAATGTCATAAGCCAAGACCTCACTCTTGTAAAGACTAGAAGCAGTCTTTCCAAGACACTGGGTCTTGACATTGTTCATGTAAAACACAATGCAAGCCTGCAAAATTCAGGCTGCAGCTGGGTGAACTTTATGGGACGTTATGTTCCTAATCCTATATTTAGTTTTCAGCACTCTCCTCCTTCTTACATCCCTCTGTAAGGACACTGAATTTCATTATGATTCTACCTCCTCCCTTATGCCAAGAGCCGCAATTTTGAATTGTTTCTAAATTTGCAAGTGCAAGAGGAGAAGAAGGAAAAGCAAGAATATGCATACAGCCATTATTTGAGTAACATGTTGCAAATGAAACCCAACTGGTTTGGAAACATCTTTGCGAGCAGGACTTCAGCATTCTTTATGCATCCATATAGTTCTGCTTACTGCAATGGCTGAACAGGTTTTATCAGAGTTCTTTTTATTTTCTCCCACTTCTTTTTTTTTTTTCCTCCCAAGATTTTTGTTAAGTCTGTGGAACTGGGCAAGTGTGGAGGGAAAATGAATAACTGGAAGTCATATTATCCTGTAACCTTAACCTTAAAGCTTGCTGCCACAAAGACAGTAAAAATCAGATTGACAGACAAGAACCACTTCACAGCCATTCAGTCAAACAACTGGACGTGTATTAAAAACACAAGAAATACCTGGACATAGGCCCTGCAAGAGCGCTCCCTTTTCTGAAGCTGAGTCCATAAAGACAGCAGATTAAAGACGGAATAGAAAAAACAAGTTAGTGACAGAACAAGGGGAAAAATTGAAGAAAATGCCTACGTAAAAACCTTGTTTCTCTTTTAAACAGCTCCTAAAACCAAACCAAACCAAAGGAAATATGTGAGTTAGGCAGCAGTGAAAGGCAGGAAGGATGGGATCCAGAAATACAGGTTAGTCCTCTTTCAGTAAAGCCCACACATGCAACTTTGCAAGAGCAGCTGTTAGACGGTGGGAGAAGTAAGGTGGAAGTACTTGAGAGACCACCTTTCCTTGGAAAGCACATGATATTCCCATGTCAAACAAGGCTTGAAAAGATGAGCTAACTGTTATTTATATGAGAGAGGTGTGGGCTCTGTGCATTTGGAGAGTGCTGATGGCATGTTGAGCTGCAGCAGGCTTTGGACAAGCACGGAGCAAGCTGTATGCAGGGTAGTGGTGGGGACTCATCCTGACATGCCTGCACAATTCCCTGGTTCCAGGCAGAGCCTCTCACGGCCCAGCTTTGTGGTCATGCCTAGAACTGCAGGAGAGTGCATTGCCCAGAGATTCTGAATGCATAAAGGGCCACCTAAGAGGTTGCAAAAGAATGAAATGTGGATCAGATTTAATATTCCCAGTTGAGGGCATTTTCTCCTCTTTAGATTAAACTGTTTCTTAGGGGCTAACCTTTCCAATTCTCTTTCACATTGAGTTTTCCTTTCCTTTGTAAGCACTGGGCCTAAACACTTCATATGCTGAATAGCTTTTCCATAAAGAATCCCACCTTTATAATAAGAGCCACATTTAGGACTATGCTTTCATATGTACTTGCATGCCTCCTACCAGATAACTGCACTTCAGTGTGTTGTGAAATTCAAACAGGCACTTATTTATCTTGATGGAACTTAGCAGGCTGTCTGCAACAATGAGCAAACATGACACTGCTCTGCAACAGTGCAACTAAAGTCTGGCTGCTCAAAGCCACTGTTTTTGCTGGGTTGTGTTTTGCAGATCTGCCTGGGTTGAAAATGGAGATGGCGAATCTCCAAGGAGATTAAGGGGTGACTTGTGCTCTCAACTCATGGCAGTGCCATCCCATTAGAACAGCTGAGAGCCAGATTTGTCCCTGAGAGTTCTGAGGCTCTGAAACAAACAAAATACACCGAGGTATTGTGCAATGCCTAATTTCAATTTCTAATTCATCAATTTGTAACAGTAGAAATCTTCCCCTGGGTAAACGTGGCCCTATGAAGACTTTACAGACAAACGGAGATCAAAGAAAGCCACGCTGGAAATTACAGAGCTATCCACTTGGGGGTCTCACCAGTCTGCTATACAACAATTATTACCTTAATTAAGCCTGATCCAGTGGAAAGCATGAAGCTTTTAGTGACAAGAAAGTGACTCCTGAAAGATGATGGCTTTTAAAAACTCTGATTATGCCAGTTTATTTCAATTCATTGTACATCAGCTTGTACAAAAAAAAAAAAAAAAAAAAAAAAGACAAAAGCAAAAGAGCACAGGTGACTACTTTCATATGGAGCATGAAGGCAAATCCCCAGCACATTTCCTTTAATGATTGAAAGAATATTTAATGGCTAGTGCTCACTTTATTTCTCCTTTCTGACCAAACAACACTAACTAAAATTCCTTGCAAATGTCTTTTTTCCTATTTTTTTTTTTTTGGAAATACTCTTGATCAGCGAAGGGGAAAAAGGAGCAGTAACTCTGCTGCCTTTTGTTTGCCCAATACTACTTCCAAGCCAAATTCATGCATTCTTAAATGAAAACAGAACAGTTGCTCTTCTAAAGAATTAAGTGGGGAATGAGAGCAAGTAAATTACCGAACCTGTCATTTGGATCACTGATTCGCGTCGCTGTTTTGCAGGACTCCACACGGTCCAGAATTTTAATGTGGAGTGCAATTGATTTGTATAAGCTGCTTGTGCAAAGCTGATGGTGGATGAAAAACCTGCAAAGGGAACCACAGGAGTGACAGCAGAGCTGAGTGGCTCTGCCTCACCGAACCTGTCAGTCCCCTTGGTTACTCCCACCCGTCACCAAGACACAGCCCCATTTTGTATCATCGGAGTGAACAGCAGGAGGTGGGATTTAAAAGATGAAAAATATGTGCTTGCAAAGCTGAAGTGACAAAATGTTGGGTGTGGCTAGGGCATATTCAGAAGAGCAAGCAGACTACAATCATGAAACCTGTTAGTATGTGACATTAATTGCTGGTTTTACCTGATATTGTCAGATATCACAATAATTTCAAACAAAACCATGGTTTGATTATAACAGAAATGTTATGCTGATGTAACAGTTAATACAATTATTTCTGACACGGTTATAAAATAGCTGGAAGCAGCATTAATTACAAGCATCAGGATAACCCAATTCACAGCACATGCAAAGCACATGATATGCAGGACGACTTCAGTTCCCACGCAGCTGTAATCTTAAACAATCCTGAAGCCCTTCACACTTAAAAGAGAATATGTCAACAGTAATATCTTACAACAAAAAGACAATGTTACTTCTCCGAAAAATATGTCTCTTTTGAAGACATGGAAGAAATTTCAGCAAGCTTAGCAATCCCAAGCTTAGCTGGGATTGTTTTTTCCCTGTATAACCTCACAATCAAATTCTCTTTACACTTACATGGATGCCAGGACTGTCAGAGCCAGCTACATTGCTAACAGCAAAATTTGGGATCTTTTTTTAAGTAGGTGGCCAATAAAGCCGTATGCTGGTAGCCACAAGGTTCAGTTGGTCGCTGTTCTGATGACAGGCCTGCACAGTGCACTGCCTGAATTTCAAGTAAGTCTTATCCCATGTGTTTACATGAGATTCTGCGACGAAGAGGGCCCTGGACCAAGGAAACCCTACATTTAAATATATTCCTGCAGACTCCACAGCCTGTATTTTCTCCCACAACTGGCAACTTGTAGCACCTTTAATATGTAGCAAGTACATTTAACTCTGGCAGAGGGCAAAGAAACCACAGAGTCATCATGTAGAAAAGTATTTCTGGGCTACATGATAGGCAATCATTTCAAAGGCCCTCTAATATCAAGTTGTCTTCAGCACCTCAGATGTAAATATGCTGACATCCTATGTTTCTTTGATAAATGTATCTCAAATGTAAAGAAATTTTTGCTTGCTTTTATTTATGTTTATGCATAGTAGTGCCCATTTGAACTTCACATTCAGCATTTTTTGATGTTACACAATGAAAAATCAAAAATCAGACTCTGCATTTTTGAGTTTTAAAAATTCAGATTTTCTGTTTTATATTACTCAGACAGATTCAGTATTGGAAACGCTACACAAAATTCTGGTTTCAGTCACACTGGCACAAATCCACAATAATTGCCATGGTATCACTTGACTTATTCTCATACTGAGCTATGAGCGTTGAGACCATGACAAAGTACCTGGAATTTATCCATCTACACATCTAAGGGTATACATTTCCCAGCACCAACAGAACACTCGGCATTTACAACTGTTTCATTTTTCAACAGAATAAAATACACTGTAAACAAAAACTGCCAGGTACTTTTGTCTACTAAGAAAGAAATCACTGCCTTCAAATGGCACCCGTTCAGAAAGAGATTTCTAACAGCTCTCCAGGATCAGTCAAACCTTTCTCCAGCCTCTCGTCCCTTCCCCAGGACCTCTGTTCTTACCTTATTCAAGCTGCGTGCAGCACTGTCCTTCCCACCTGGCGTCAGGTTTCGGAGCTGCACATCAAGCAGGTTCACCAGCTGAACCATGGCAGACACAGAATACGTGATGTCACCAGCATACAAGTGGTTTCTGGTGTGCTCTGCAAGCTCTCGGGCAATATTGGCAGCCATCTCTCCTGACTTCATCTGCAATGGAGAAAGCAGGATAAAAGGTTGACCCTTAGCACTTAGTCTGACATTAATCTAGTCTTCTCAGCCTCACAGGTGTAACTGAGTCAGTTCTGTGCAAAGCAATGCTCTCAGGAAGGAAACGTGTATATAGACTCTCCTGTCAAGAAAGAGCTGATTATGATTCCAGAAGATTATTTGATAGGGAATAGGTGATTTCTGTTACAACTCCCACACAAAAAAAGTTCGTTGCAAAAGGAACAAAAATAGATGACACAGCCCAGATGAACAGGAGAAAAAATACTGTCAATTCCCATTACATGGATTTATTAATTAGGCACTAGCTTAACACTTACCACTTGCACACAGGAGATGTACTCCTCACCACAATGGCTGCTACTTCTGTAATAAGCCTAGTGATTCTTAGCTTAAAAGCATACTAACTCAGGAACAAAAGGCTTAAGGCTTCAAACAAAGGCCTGTCGGAAGGGAAAACCAAGTATGCTGTTTGGCTGTATTTCCTACTAAAAGATTTTTATTGCCTAATTGAGTCATAAAATTAATGAATCACCTGTAGTGGAATTCACTGCATAATTATTTGGGAAGTTCTTTTTTTTCTTTTTTTTCTTTTTTTTTTTAATTCAAGGCTTATCACTTTTTTACTGGCTCTGTATTGCTCTCCTATCCTTCTGCACCTTTCCCTTCTTGTGCCACAAGGACTCGGGGTAGGGCAACTGGTCCTATGGCCTTTCTATAAGCAATTCACCACGGAAGTACTATTGCAACTTTCTGATCCTCTTCATTATATACTACTCTGATCTGGAATGCATATCCATGGGGAATATGTCAGGCATAAAGAGAAGTTACACAGGATGACATTTAAATGAAGCTCCCACTTCTTTGTCAGGCTCAATGACCAACTGTACAGTGTTCTTCACATGAAATTTCCAATTGTTTCATCTTCTAACAGTCAGAAATCAGATATCTATCTTCCTCTCTCAATTTCTGGTGCTTATTATAAAAACAGGATTCTAGGGAAATACTGCAGGCAGAGCTTCTACCTCTCAGTAAATCAATTAGCTCAGTTATAAATGAATAACTTACTTCCATCAATTTGACAGCAACAGCCCATCTGATTTAATGAGATCTAACTGAAGATGTTCATACGCTCATCTTTGGAGAATTAAACCATATGATGACATAGATAAGACAAATAGAGGAGATAATGTGGTGTTCTTCCCAATAGAGCAATGATAACATATATTCAAAAACTGAATTATTTCTTCCTTATTACACACAAAGCAAATGCCATAGAAACCAGATCGTATCCTTATAGCTGCCTGTTTTCCTAAGCAGCTGAAGAAAGCCACGTGTCAGCATAGAGGCTAATTTTTTACCTCCTCTGTTGGTACCCAGCACATTAAAGAATAGCTCCATCAAATTCCTTTATGTAAAGAAATCAAATTCAAGATTTTCCTGCAATTTGTCCCTGAAGCTTAACGTGTATCATGACAAACAATGTTTTTGTAAACCTTACAGAAAATTGCAGAAGTGCAAGTGCTTTTACTCAAAAAAACCTGCTACTCACATTTGATGTTTACCTTTTCTCTTGGATGCATCTTTGCAGACTGGCCTATTCAAAAATAATTGCTCAGCTGCTACAAAGGCAAGCCCAAGAGTGTTCTTTTTCTTGGAACAAGGCTCTTCTACTGAACAGCAAGTTATCACTGCTCCTACCTGTCTGCAAAAACAACGTGGGCTGATCATTAATAGACTCCTTTCCTTTTATCTTACACTGATCACCAGTTCTAAAAACAACGTTGAAGAATTCTTGTTTGACCAAATAAAAACCCCAAAATTGAAGAAAGGCCTGAGAAAAGGCACATTAATACTCAACATTTACCAAGTCTTGGGTCACAAACTCATTTCAAGCACTCAAATTTCCTGACGCATCTTTGGAGAGTGTGTCTGGTTGAGGAACTAATGACCTATATCCTGGCACCACCACTTATTTCCAGACTTCTTTCTTCAGTGTCACTCAGAAGCAGCAGCTACAAGCCCCCACAACAGAGCTGAGACACTTTTTCCATCTTGCCTGCGAGTATATTGCAAAGAGTACACAATATGATGGCCATATGACATGGTAATGCCAGCTTCCCTCATTCTTTTGGGAGCTTCATGTGGAAGCTCTCTGTGCAGTGTTCTCCATGCAGTTTTGACACAGTCACCACCATCCACAGGAAGTGGCAACAGTCCTACAAGGTTCTTAGAGGGTGAAGTTGCCACTGTGAGGCAGGCATGAAGTAAAGAAAAATGCACAAGTAACTGAGTTTTCTGCTACAAGACTGAAGAAAAATAAATGAAGTAAAAATACTGCATCTCTTTCTGACTTGAATCTTTTTTTTTTTTTTTTCCCTGCATAGACTGTTAAAAAATTAAAATTTGAAAAAAAAATAAAAACAAGCAGCAAAAAGTGGATTGTGGGATAAAAGAAAGCACTCTGTTCAAATCAAATCTAATTTCTGGTTGTTCTGGGTGATGTTTAGCTTTTTTGCAAACTGCTTAAATCTCATCTTGGAATGCTAATTTGAAGGAAAGAATGCTTTTCCTGTCAAAATCCAAATACACAAAACAGATTCCTCTGTCTCTGTTGTAAATTGCACCCCCTCCTTCATTTGAGAATGCTGGCAGGTTTCCACCCAGAGTTATAAATGAGCATCGACACACCTGAAACTGCACTGTGCAACACTTGCTAACATTTTCCTAGTTTGCATTACTATCTCTCTTATTCTTACAACTGAAATGACTGTGAAGTAATAGTTGTTAGATAGGGCATAAATTCTTGCCTGCTTCCTATACTCAAAGAAGACAATTTGTAATAGTAGCCGTAAAGCAGTGGAATAGGTTGCCCAGAGATGTGGTGGAGACACTCAAAGTCAGGCTGGATGGGGCTCTGAGCACCCTGATGTAGCTGTAGGTGTCCCTGTTTCGCAGATGGCCTTTTAAGAGTCCCTTGCAACTGAAATGATTCTATGAATTATAGAGTTTTGTTTGGAAAGACTAACAACTCTCCCGTAGCATGTTTGCTGCTTCATTCCTACCTTTCTCAGAGGCAATCAACTGTAGAAGAGGTCAATAGAATAAAAATGGGGGAAACGGCAAAGAACAATTTATGAAAGAAAAATTCAGAGAAAAACCGAAAAACCGAAAAAGATGCTGGGGAAGACAGCAAGTGTGACGAAACTTCAGTGCCAAAAATATTTTCCTGCAGCCTGGGGCTAACAGTGATATAAAGGGATGGTATGAAAGTCTGAATGAGGATTTTTAAACCAGTGGCTCACAGCTCCAACGACCACAGAGCTGATGTCATTTTCTGAAGGGACAAACATCTGACAGGTTTCATCGGGCACCACCAGCTGCTAGCATGGGGCTATAGGACAGCTTTCAATACTGCAAAGACTTCATAGCCATTTTGTTTCCCTAGCAGAGATTTCAACATGCACATGCTCATTCATGCAATACAGTCAGAGCACAACTACCACCCTTCTTCTGAAAAAGAAAATGCCGTTCCACTCAACTTTGCTTTTTTCCTTTTCTTGGATGATACCTAAGGATATAACTGACACATTACAAATGCTGGCTGTCCAACAAAGAGGTGTATGGCTGTTCTCTCCAGAGCACAACAGATCTAGAGAACAGTGAAAAACTGTATCTGAAACTATATTCAAACAACTTTCAGGAATCTGCATTTAACATCCCATTACTAATCTGCCAGCTGCAGCATCTGCTGCTTCAAGTACACTATAATGCACTGAACACAAACTGGCAGAAGCAATCTGGATGTAGAATTGCACTGCGGTATTGTTAGGACTTTGCCTTCACCTGGATACTCCTGGAGGATGTAACACTTTTTATTCTACTGGAGAGGTTATTCTCTCCTTCAGAGCCTCAAAATTGAGCCTAGTGGGGCCTCTCTCCCACACGAATCACCCTCAACTGAAAGCTGCAGCAAGGAAAAGACATTTTCAGGCATATCACATACTGCGCAAAGGCCAGTACTGATGAAAGCAAGAAGTAAAACAAACAGGCTAAGGCTGAACGTATGACCTCATGATTAGAACGATGCAATGTATCCAAAGCTGACCTTTTTGCTTCCTTTTACTGCTTCAGTCTAGAAATAACCCACACAGCAGTGCATAATTCAATAGCGCTGGCAAGTTTATTCTCCTGCTATGTTATGAGGGCATGGTAGGCACCAACAATAAAGTTAAAGTAAATGTCAAGGGGGCAATGAATTGCTGAAGCGGACATTTGTTCTGATCTTCCATCAAGCACAATAACTCTAATGGAAGCTAACAGAGAGTTGTAAAACCTAATACTATGATGCAAGCAGGCAAAAACCCAATGTACAGTCTGAGCACAGCAGGAAAAAGAAAAGAAGCAAGTAACAATCCTTACTTCACTATAGATACATGAAAGCAAGTATGGCATTCCCCTGCCATTCATTCCGGTTTGGCTGAAAGTGAATCCCATCATCCTTCTTCCTGAGCAGTTTGGACTCAGCAGGTTGCAGTAAGAATTTCTGAGGCATACAGCAGACAAGAATGAAGACACAGTGGGTACGTATAAATCTTGACTGCCTAAGTGTTTCTACTCATTTTGTATGCAGTGCTACGATTGCAGAGGCAGTGGGATGGGTGACCAGGGAGGATCTGAGAGCTGGGGACAAAGGAGAGCTCAGCTGCAGGTGACAGACATACCCTACCTCCATTGCATGGCTGGCTTACTGCTTCCTCCAGCTGGCCTCACAGGATCCAGAAGGGGAGCTGGCTTTGCCCTGGAGGAAGAAGGCTCCTTTATCAGCTTTAGAGAACCAAAGGAGCACGTTCAGGGCAGTGGTATCCTGCCCATAGTGGGGAAGTGTGAAACCTGACTCTAAGCACAACTGTGATTTAAAGCTCCTCACTCACGCAGGGATATGCGTGGCCATTGGCTATTTCACAAGTAATTTGAAATCCAGCTTTCCATAGTGGTTAGGCCACATGGTCTCAAGATCCCAGCCACTCAGGCACAAAAAGGTTAGATGCAGAGCAGTCTGTCAGACACCCCTTGTCTTCCCACCAACTTGTGAAAGGTTTCCAAAGTTGAACATAGCTAAATTCCTCCGGAAAAAAAACCACTTTCCTCCTCCTCCACCCCACTCCCCCGCAAAAAAAACAACAACAACAAAAAAGCCAGTCCCAAGTTGTGGCCTGCTGGGCTGGGCATCTCTGAAAACCTGGCTCTTCAATTTTAGCCTGCTTTGAAAGCGCATAACAAATTAAATGGGGCTCATTTGTTACGCAAATGATAGCTGTGGTTTCAAATAAAGTAAGCCTAACCTTGATGGAAATTTCATCAGTGCAGGCTATTATTTCCCTCTGCTAATGGCTAATGGCCTAGCCATCTTCACTGAGCAGCAAGAGGTCTCCCAGCCGCCAGGGTGAATTATGACTGGAGTAAGCAATATTAACCCCTCCAGGATAAGTACGTGGGTCATAAAACAAGAACTGCACAGCTGCTAATGGCAGCAAAGGCAGTCTTTATTAATCAGCTAGCCTGAGCATGTGGCAGGAGAGCTGCCCACTCTCCTGTGCGGGACAAAAGCACCAGGAAGTACCAGGGGCTTCCTAACAGCTGTTCTGTGTCACTGTAGCTTTGCCTTAATTTATGTCTTTCCCTCGTTTTGGGGAGGCACAGGTATAAATACAGACAAAGTGGGATGGGATTGACTGGGGGTGTCAACGCTAGTTATTCACAGGTTGTTGAGCCTCAGCTAAGATAGAAGATGGGGAGGAGAAAGACAAACGGGCTCATCTGTAAGGTCACCTGTTCACCAGTGAGCACAAGTGCTCCTGGAGTGCAGTGCTGCTACTGTGCTGCAGCGCAGCCAGCCTGCAACACTGGGACTTTCTTGCTCCTGCTAAAGGAGCAAATAAATCCACACAAATTGCTATAATAAGGATTCAGCCCACAGACTCTGTGGCGTAAACACACATCTGGTCTCTGTTTCTAATGAAATCAGCTGAAAGCACCACTGTGCATTAATAACAAAAATGTTCAACATATTGCTACCAAATAAGCTCTGCTTGTCTTGAACTTCCATTGTCACATGTTAATGCGCTTTTAACAGTGATAAATGATGAAGTGCTACAAAACATTCATCAAGGGACTTAGGAGTAAAAAGTAACACATTACTACAGTGTTATTTTCTATTCTACTAGTCCTTTTACAATTGGGAAAAAAGAACAAAAAGTCAGTAGCACAATGCAAACATTTCATACTGAGCTTGCCTTTCTTCAGTACAGATTTCTCAGCTACAGGATTTAACCTGCACTGCATGGAAGGAGAAAATCCTTGGGGATGCCTGCAGAGGAAAGTTTCCTTTTGCAATAAGTTGGCATTTTCATATGCCCACCCACCACCTCCTCCTCCCTCTTCTCGCCACAAACAAGAACTGCACACAGACTTGGTTGGGGAAGGTTTTACCTTCTGAGTGATGTGGTTGATCCAGGGAGAAGAGCAGTTGCTGAGATCTGGTCCCTGGGGCTCCCAGATTCCATCTGGTGCAAGACACCGGAAAGTTGCAACACCTGGAAAAGGAAAGCCACTGTGTTCAGTGTTACTGATCACATACTTGACTTCATCAGATAAAGACTATGGACAGAGGGCTTTGCTTCAGGTCAGGCAGGATAAGTTCCCAGGCAGTAAGAAAGTGAAGCTGGATCTCAATCACTGAGCCAGCACCCCCAGTGCTGGCCTAGCCATTTTGCCTGCCCTGCCCCACCACTAATGTCTCAGGATCAGATCACAAGCTTCTACTTCCTTGTCCCCTGATGTTTTATGAATATTCTACTGCTCTGGATCTTCATTAAACCATTTGGGTGGAAAAAATAAAAAACTTTAAGTGCTATAAATGCTAAGATTAATGCTGAGTTTTATCATCCATCCCTGACCATCAAGACAGACATTAGAGGAGAGTTTTGTCTGGCATGAGCCTCCCAGATCCCAGCTGCAAAAGACAGTAAAGAGTTTCGGGACAAAGAGAAACACATTCAAAATGGTGCAGTTAAAGACTTCTAAAAAACAAGAAAGCAGAAAGCCAGTACACAGATGAAAGACTCTGCATCCTGTAAAGCGCTCTGCCCTGCAGAGCCAAACTTTTCAACAGGGGAGTGAATTACATACTAGGTCTGATGGCAGTGCCGATTAAAACCAGTGAGGGTTTGCTGATGCCTTCAAAGGGAGTGGGAAGAGGCCCACTGCTAACATACAACAGCTTTTAACAAATGACATGAATCACTGAAAACAGAGATCAGAAAGGCTTATTGCCTACTCCAAACCGTCAACAAGCTGGGTCTGTTCTTTTTTATTTTCTTAGCTATTTTCGTGCAGTCCTTTGCTCTTCTGCTCAGAAAACAGCTCTCTGCATCCAACCTTCATTTTCCCTTTCTATCATTTTCCCTTCTTGCAGTTTCAGTTCAGACTACCTCTTCCTCTCTCTGGGAACCACACGATACCTTTTTACCAAGCAGGGCTGAGTAAAAACATTCTTTACCTACTCTCATCACTGACGTCTTTCTATGCCTCTTATATTTGAGGTACATTTTATCACCCTGATCTCACTGAATTCAAGAGAGAGTCAGAATTTGAATACACAGGTGTGAATGGCTCTCCAGGGCAGTGGAGTGGAGAATTAATAGTCTCCTCTGCAAGCCAGATCCCTCCAGCCCTTACTTTCAGGCAATTTCCTCCATCTTCCGATTTCTTTCTGGCAAGCAAGTTTTCAGGGCATGACACCAAGACTAGCTTGAAAAATAAGTTCTTTTTGAAAACAGCATTTGTTAAAATAGGGTAAACTAAAACCATATGCCAAAGCCCATTGTTCAGTCAACTGTGTTCTGATGTGGACAGAAAATTTCCAACAGCAAACTTTTGGGAGAAAACAACTGACAGGAGAGTAGAAGAAAAGAAGCAAAATGCAACAAGCTGTAAAGCATTTTGAAAGATTTGGCTTTGTTGCCACTCTGCTTTCCTTGCTGATGGCACCAGATACTGGCTGTTTGGAAAAAACATTCACGTTGGTTGAGGAGTCCAGTCAGGGAATAGCTCAGAAAGGGTAACCATAACCTTTGGAATGCAAACAGTGAGGTACAGAGTTTTGGTAAAATACATGTTTTGTTGTTTTTCTTCTTCTCCAAACAAATGAAGTGTCAGACATCAACATTTCAGTCAGCGAGTTCAGAGGATACAAATACAGGCAGAGCAGGGAAAAAAGGTACAGTACATACAGCTTATGGACACAAGATTTCCTAGAGTGCATCATGCTCAACTTGTTAGCTTCATCTCTCCTTCAGTAAGAGCCTGGAATGACAAGGATCCTGTGCAATGTGCTTAGCAAATGGAGGCTTTGGTCAGGCCATAATCCACCAAAGTAACAAAGAGCTGACAAAGGGCAGCAACGTACTTCATTGTTGAATGTATGCCACGGGAGCCCACAGCCAAGTTGACCTCACACTTGCAGTATCCTACAGACAAATGCAGATGGCTCGCTGTGTCCCCTTAACCCTTCACTCACCTATCGAGCCCATGGGACATGGTTGCTTTGCCATTTGTCCCTGCCGGGTCCGAGACCACATAATATCACGGGCTTCCATAGGGTCGCAGCTCTCGGCACCAGCTGGGGGCAGCTGGGAGGAGGCGGGTGGGAGGTGCGTGGTCATCTCATCAGGAACATCAGCCATGGGTGAGGGCATGCTGGTGCTCCTGTTCCTCCTACCCAAAGCTGAGGTGGTGGTGGGGCGGCCAGTGCTGCTGGTGGCCATTCGTGGTGTGGTGCTGGCAGTGGTGCTCACCGGGCCCAGTGCCCCTGATGTTGATACCCCTGAAACAGAACCAGAGCAAATTAAAGACAGGGAGGAGAAAAGGGAGACAGTGTGCACCCAAGCTTCGACCCATCCAGAGTGGCCTGCTGGCTATAGCAGGAGCTACAATTAGAGCAGTGCTTGCTGCCTTTAAGAGGAACACAGCTAGGGAAGTATATAGGGGAGTACTGACTCCCAGTGCAAAAATGATTTTTCAAAAGCACTAGCATCTGATAAAAATAAAGCAGAATTTCATGCTCTTTCCATTTTTCTTTCTGGCATTTTAATGTAAAAATCTTATTTTCTGTCTTTTAGGGAGCATTTAGCACAGAAGTGCTTTTAATTTTCTATTTTTGTTGTTGAAAGCCCAGCTGGTTTGATCAGGAAAATACAATAAAAAAGCTCTGCACCACAAACCCATCTCCTAAAATACGAAGAATGGCAGCAGAAGGAAGGATGAACACAGGACACTCTCTGGAGTAAGTTGCTCATTTTCTCCCTCATGCTTTGCTGCCCAGTCCTGACACCGTGCTCAGCCCCTCAAGCAGCAGGCTGTGTGGCAGCACAAAGGCACACCGTAACCCAGCCACATCCTCAGGGGTGTAATCCTCAGAGGCTATTTCATTTAAACAGGCTGGGCATCCGGCAGCAAGAGGTGGAAAACTTGCTTTTGAAATGTCTTTTGAAACTTGTCCTGCACCCTGCCACAGCTGTGCTAAGTGTGGTAAACGCTGAAGATTTTGTCTCCTAATTAGACCAAGGTCTTGCCACTGGTTGCAGATTTGCATGGACTTCTTCATCTCTTGCCCTGAAACTTCAGGTGGGAAAACCAAGTCAGGCTCTCTCCAATTGTCCTACCATGTCCCCCCATACCCAGCTCATATAGGATGCTGCTTCTCCCATCTCCCAGAGATAAGTGTCCTCCCGCTTCTCTTAACATAACACTTCTACTCCCACCAAATACTAGTCTTTCACAACTGTCCCACCAATCTCCCCAGCAGTATAGGCACAGCAAGCCAAAGGAGAACCTATGGATAGCAATCCTCCTTGTCTGATACCAGTCTCCCTCAAATTTCCATGCCACAACACCTCCTTAATATCCCATCTCTCCCTGCAGCCAAAAGTCTCTCAGTGACACAAGTCGTTTCACATCCAGCAAAAGGAATCTGAGTTTTTATATTAAAGACAGCCATGTGTGAATGCCAGCCTAGCCAGAAATTAAAATTAAATCACCCTGTTGCCCTGAGCACCAACCCCCCAGCTCCTCAGCTGTGTGAGCAGGCTCAGTGTGCGAGCTCCCGAGAGCAGAGACCTTTTCTTTTAGCTCTGATGAAGCAGACCATGCTCACTATTAATGCCATATTAGTTATTAATGTATAATGATATTGCTGTCACTGGAGTTCAGGTAAATGTTCGTTCAAGTCAACCTATTTAAAGCACAGAGATGCTTGCCTCTAGTGTAGAACAGGAATTTTTCCATGTGAAAGTATTTCTTTTTCTGTGTGATTTAAGTAATTTGCCTGTGCAAAGACCAATTCTTCTGCCCCAAGAGAATCAATAATGTGGCAGCTGAAGCACACGCTTGCTCTGGTTATAGTTTCAGTCCAACTCCAAGAAATTCTCTACACAGACTCTAAGTCAGAAGCATAATAAAAGCATAATTTTCTGATGGACCAGTATTGTTGCTCAAGAAAGCATTCAATTTAAAAATTCCAGCTCTGTGATTGTTTTGGAAAATGAGATTATCTTCTTACCCAGCCTCCAAAAAGGCAACTGGTAGCGCTGTAGGCACTAAGTCAGCTGAAGATGAGGACACACGTTAAGGAGCCCGATCCAATTCCTGGACTCCCACGCCATGGGCTTTAGTGCTGCTCTTTTTGTGCTGCCATAGCAGCACATCAGATGCCTGCACACCAATTCCTTGTTCTTCACTTTCAGGTTAGCTGTGGTTATGTGGGATTGGCCTGACTTGGGTTACGGGCCCTGGCAGTAGACTTGTGCCTGTCAGCACAGGAGGCTGTGGTTTGTGCACATGCGTGCATATACGTGCACATGGCTTGCTCAAGATTTTGGGAAATGTTGACATTTCAGCAGTCACAAAGCTCGTTCATCAAAATTTTCAGCTTTCTCCTACCACCTCCTTTCTACTGGGTTTGAATGAATTCCAAAAAACACAAAGTAAAACCCTGCAGACATTGACAGATTTCTTCTAGTTTCTGCTCAAAGCTGTGCAGGATCACCAAGCAGCACACAATTTCCATCTGACATTACAGGGAGGATCAAAAATTGTAGAGAACTTCAGCAAAAACTTATCTGGTTTTATTACAGCAGGCCTTGCCAGGAGTATACACTTTATTTCTTCATAACAATGATTAGTTTGATAAATCACAACGTGCAGCAATTCAGCTACTTAGTCACGTAATAACAAGGTATTCTCCATTTGCAAAACGAGCTACATCATGTGCTACAGGTGCAGAAGTATCAAATAGAAACAGCAGATGCTGTAAATTAGCCTTGAAATAATTTCTACAGCCATTTGAAAGCCGATGGAAACTCGATATGGAAGCATATAGGCATATGGAAGCCTATGGATCTTGAGTGGGCAACGCAAAAGAAAGATTAGTTGAACTTAAGAAACAACAGAAGTCCTAAAAATGAACTGTACGGAGTTCAGTTCAGACCACAAAGAGGCAGCACAGGGCAAGAGGTAATGGCCTTAATCTGTGTGAGGGGAGGCTCAGGTTGGATATTAAAAAACATTTCTTGTCAGAAAGAGTGGTGATTCACTGGAACAAACTGCCCAGGAAGGTGGTGCACTCACCATCCCTGATGGTATTCAAGAAATGTGGAGATGTAGCATTGAGGGACACAGTTTAGTGGTATTGTGGCGATGGATTGATGGTTGGACTAGATGATCTTAGAGGTCTTTCCACCCTTAATGATTCTACGAGCACGATGAGTGAGCACCCAGGAGCTCCCCTCAACCCGCTTGCAGGGGTACTGCATTTTTGAATTTCCACTGACTATCACGGAGCATGTTGCAGCAGGATGGCTTTGGAACAGCTCTGCCAAGCTTCTTGTATCAGTTACACGTGAAGGACTTACTAGTGTTTTCCTTTCAATAAATAAATAAGTAAAATATTTTGTCCTTCAAAACCCCTTAGCATCGCTGCCAAAATTTCTTGGAGGGCTTGTTCTTCTGTCTTTTTTCTCGTAATACTGGGCTTTTTCGCTGGTCTTAAAAATCACAGCTCTGCCATTTATGTAGCATAAATTATAGGAAGGCATAAAAGAGCTGACCTGACATGGCCTAAATACAGTGAGAGACAAGGACGGCACTGAGTTCAGCTCAAAGTTCTGATCATTCCGTTGCTCAATTTGGAAATGAGCCCCAGTGAATATGACCACCATCACCACCAAGCTGCAGAAGCCCTGCCAGTTGCTCATTTTGCTCACAGAACTGTGTGCTTTAAAACCAAGTTAATTGGTTAGAAGGGGCAGAACAAGAGATCAGCATCATTTACATATAAATGATTCTCAGATCCAAGCAAAACTGCAAATAGACTGCAACCTGTGCACAATTACCTAAGTTCTACAGCACAGAACAGAGATCAAAACTCCAAATTATCTAAGGCTGCCAATATACTGCAAACCTTTAACTCAGAGAAAAGCAGCTTTGGTTTAGAACACATTAATAGAAGGATTCTTCAGATAATATTTCATAATACAATTCTTGTTCACAGACAGGCAGTGACCTTTAAAAATCAACAAAACTATTACAACCTGGAGCATATAATCTTGAATATTTTACTTTACTTAAAGCTTTCTTTAACCATGTCGTGCCGTATGAAGACTTCAAAAATAAGTTTTAGGTAAGAAATCAGTTTTTACTCCTTAACTTCCAATCCCAAATATTCACAAGATTTTACCAACTTCAGTTCCGTGGAACATGGCCACAGCACGGCGCTGGGATGAATATTTCCAGTATTCCTAAGGTACCAAGCTGCAGCCATGGAAACATCTCTTTCCTAGAAGAAACCCAAAGCAATACTTCATCTTTTTTTTTCTCTGCTGCACTATTTATAGAGAAGGCATTACTGGCAGAAAACTAAGTTTTGCCATCAGTCAGACCAGAGCTGCATTTCCAGCGTCCACGGGGAGTAATTGCAACTCCCAGAGGAACCTCTCTCTGTTCCCAGAGCATTTACTAGCAAGAAAAAAGAAACGGTCAATTTTTCCCTTCTTTCTTTTATTTCCCAACCCTTACACAGCGGCCCATTCCCCTGGAGGGGAAATTATGCATGACCAATGGAAAATCATGGGAGGAATTTATTAACAGATTAAAAAAAATCAAAACGTGTAAGCGAGGGGTTCTTTCTTTCCCTTCCCTATTTCCTTCTCTTCCTCTTTTTTGGTCTAAAATGACAATGTAGAATTGACCACTACTCTCTATCAGCCACTGGGACAATCCAGCACAGATGACCTTTTCCCTTCTGCTTTCTCCACATCTTTTTGGTGCTCCCAGATACAGGAGACTGCTTTTTTCAGATGATTTAAAAGTGTTTTCCTATCACAAAAGCTTGTGCAAAGCAGACCATTTCAGGCAAGAGAATTTGAGATCACTTCCTATCTCCTTTTTGCCTGATGTTTTTTTTTTTCTTTCTGCACCCAATAATCCAGCCTATAACCCACCTCACTAAATAATGAGCATGCTTTTAAAAAGACACAATGATTTTTCTATCCCATGCATGCAGATAGATAGATAAGTAGCTTTCTCAAAGCAATCCTGCCCTTGGAGCAGAACTCAAGGTACAACTAATCCAAGGGGTTCAGCTTCTGCAGGAGTACAGCATTCCATTTTTTTTAAAATTTTTTTTTTCTTCATTTTTTCTTCTATTGAACAATAGTGGAAGTTGTATTCAGATAGCAATGAGAAAGAGCAGGCAACTTTTGAAAGAAGCAGCAAAAAATCCTAAACTCTTCCTCCCTATCTCATAAATGCATCTTCTGGGAATTATTT